AATATATGCTATATGTAACCCACATAACTAAATAATATATATAGAATCATTAGACCAGAAAATACCTCTATATTGTATATATATCTATATAGTATTCTTCTCGCATTCTTATCTTGTCTTCTTATTTAGCCCAATGTACACAACGCGAAAAGAGAAACTGACGTCCAGCAATAGTAACAAGCGAAAAAAGCAAAGTAATCCCACGACACCGAGAGCCCGGACGGCCGCTTGCATGCGGCAGACTGAGGATAATCTAGCACACAGGAATTTCACGCCTTGCTTTATGCTTGCCGCACCATAATGTGCGTGAGAAAATGAAGGAGAGACAGCCTGATTGATGTTGGGCGACGAGAGACGGAGGCATTGGCGGCTGCTGTCGGTTGGCTGTGGTCAACTGAGATGCAACGATGGATGACACTTGCGAGGGAATGCGATGGATCGTAATTTCGTTTCGTTCTATATCACGAATACTTGGACGGGAGTGAGAGAGTATATAAAAAACAACTCTTAAGTTAGCATATAAAAATCACGATGTTCAAAGGTTATCGTCTTTTACATACGGAAAGGCCGCCGATCAAATAAAAGAAACCAAATGAAAAATGTACAATTTACTGCATTGAAGTTTAGATATATAGTACTACAGATCGCGCAGACAAGAGACATGATAGGTTTGTAAATAACAAAACTCCGTCAACGCTCGAAGATATCCTTTCATAGTAGGGCAAGAGCGGACGTCTTCCTGACAGCGGGATATGTATGCCTTCTGTTTGTTAACAATACACACCATATCATTAGAGTCGCTTCACTTATATTCTCAGTTTTACTATCTCGCACTCATACACTCGCCTAGAGAGCCAGAGCCGAATCCGTTTGTCGTTCCCAAAGTGTTGATTGGTTAATTGGTTTCGAATATGAAACTCATCAGTATCTTTTTGAAGACATTGTCTATACGCTAGAAAAAGAGCAGTGTCCTTTGACAACGTCGAGGAGGAACTTGGCCTGGCATAAATTAGCACTTTTTTCGTGTTCAGAAGTTGTAGTCTATTAAACATAGATTTTACAAACAACTGGAATCGCCCTGCGGTCATTAATGTGGGTCCCACACTTATTGTAGTGAGCGCAATAGATGACTAATAGTCGAACTATTATATTCATCATGTATTAGTGAAATACTGTTTAATATTGGAACAGCGATATTTTTATGTCTTAGTTACAAATAGCATTTTGCTTCTGATAATTGCTATTCATAACATTAGGAAAATGGGCTACATGATTTTATAGAGTGTATAGACTAACAAGTATCGCCCTAGAAGATTTGATATCAGTACGTATTCTGATAAGAATAAAAATGTAGAACCATGAATACTTTCCGATGTACCTCACCATTTGATCATGTAATATCGTTGTCACCTGCTGCATTCTACCTTAAAGCAACACTACTACATCTACGCCGCCTCTGTCTGTCTGTACTGTCTGCCCTGTCTCTCTTCTCCTCTTCTTATCTTCTCCATATCCTCTCTCCCATCTCAACCTCCTAGCCTCTCCTCGAACCCCATCTTCTCTCTGCTGATGAACAACATCAGAATAGTTATAACAAAAAGAAGTTGTATGGCCTTATCTGACAGGCTTTCGAAGGCTTCTCACCATGTTCGCCGTAACGTGCAGAAGAGTTTATGCCTTACCCGGCCCGTCACACATTGAAATCCAAGCCGCCGATGAAAATCCTAGATAATTTCTTTTCCAACGTCCCGTCACCCCTTCCACCCCTTTCCCCTTCCCCTGCCGACGGACTAACGCACTTGCCGTCCGGGCGCGCCAACCACGTAATTATCTCCGCTCGCTTCCGGTGCCCACCGACCGCTTGGGAAAGGTTTGCCTTCTCGCCGGCCGTCACGTCGCCATGAAGTCTCGCTGGCTTTGCAGTCTGCATTTGGAAGGACGTAAACTTGCGTAGAGACTGAGCTGGTCGATATCAGTGATCCACACTCATGTTGCTCACACCGTATGCACATCAGCAAAAAAACATTGTTATCATCTCTTAACAGTATGCTACTTCAATTTAATTATTATTACTAATTGTAAGTATATATCCGCCCATAGTATTAACATACTATCTACACAATACTATAAGTCTACTATAATCCACTATTATTATAGTATACATAATTATATATATGTGTGCTGTTGTTGTGTGTGTGTGCTGTGTTGTGTGGTTGTGTGTTGTGTGTTTGTGTGTGTTGCAGTGTAGTATGATTGCAACTGTTATTATCACTATGTTACTTTCACATTATATGATGTATATTATATAGTGTATGCCTACACCGTTATATACATCTTAAATATCAGATATTGTATATGAATCTATAAAAATCGTATAGTATCTGCGTGATTAAGTCACACTCTATATATGTTAACAAAATTATCTACGTTAATAATATACATCTTTAATATATATTATTATAAATGTATATGGTAGTTAGACTTTAGCCTATTTATAACATACCCATCCTTATAACCAATATACACTATAACACGATGCTGCTTAACACACAACACACACACACACACACACACACACACACCCACACACCAAACACACACACACACCACACAACACACACACACACTACAACAGCAACGCACCACACACACACACAACACACACACATAAACGATGTACATTACCTTTAATGATTGTAGAGCATAACGTACTACTACAATATCCCCTTACTATAATATCCTATATATATATATATATAATTTATATTAATAC